GCTTTCGGACAGCCTATTTTATTCATTCTACTTGAGTCACATTCTGATCTAGTAATTTATTCGCTTATCAATCTTGACTGTTTTTATATGAGCGCGTAGGTGTGTGTACATTTTTTATCCCATTACTCATCACATGTCTGTAACTTACTTTTGTGTAATTTATAAATATTGATTAACGTTTAGTTAAATGGGAGTTGGCTTACCTGCCATCTCCACACCGCGTCGTTTCTCCTTTTTCTATTCCATTCGCTTCATATACAAAATATATGTATTCAGAAGTCCATTCTCGTTATTCGACTTATTTAATCCCGTTATTGACTAACGCGATTTAAGTTGACGATTATATACCAGAATGGACGATAACAAACATTCATACGATCTAGATGGAGTCAGATCTACGGGCCACTAAAGACCTCGACACTGCCAAACCAATGACGCGTTAACCAGTACGAGCAGCCTATAGGCAACTCTAAATCCTCATTGGTTCTTCTTGCCTTGCCCTGTCCACTGAATCCAAAACACAATCTCAGCCTCCACCGTATGAATCACATTTCAGACATACATGGTTTATATACAAGCAACTCAGACCACCGCATCATAACATAAAATAGAAAATAACAATTATACAAGATCAAATCAAAAGTGACTGTGAATGTAAGAGACTTTAACTAATAAATAAGGAATAACTTAAGGATAGCAAATCTTATAATAATATTCAATAGGTTAAATGAAATCTCATAATAAAAGTAATATGTATATAGTCTCGTTAGTTAATAATTATACAAAAAAAAGATGTATCAAATGATAGTCCATAAATAGTAACTAGCAGTCTTAATTCATTTATTCTTTATTATCGACAAAATCATTTACTTAAACTGTACATTCGTATATAGATTTAGATACGGAAAATGTATGTCTATAGTAGGACAGGAAATATTGCATCACCAATAAATAACATATGAGGTTACGTACTAACCAAGGGGTAAGGAGAAGGAAATCGTTTATGGGTCAGATAATAGTCCAATTGACGAATATGAAGAAAAGCGACAAACACAAAGGTCATAATAATAGACTAAATAATACTCAAGAAAACTTGTATAGGGTAATAATAACCACCAATTAGAGTTTAAAATGCAAAATAGTAATTTTTTAAAAAAAATTCGATAACAATCAAATAAAAGTGCAGAAAAAAACAAAACAAAAACCGAAACATACCCATTAAAGAAATTAGGGTTAAGGAAGGGTGAGAGGTTGGACGAATCGTTTCTACACACAAAGTTCGGACCTGAGTTCGTGAATTGCCAGTGCCTCAGCAGTGCATAAAATATTGATTCGACACCCCTTCGATTCAATCCCTTTGACTCTATAGATCACTTTAAAAGAATACTTGGGAGCGGTGTGTCCAAAATTGATTAAATGTTCCTGTATAGAACTAGTGATTGTCTTACATTCTCCTTTTAAAAGCTAAGCTGGATAGTGTTCTGAAATGCGTTTGGAAAGTGATCGCTTTGTTTGGCCTATATAACGAGCCCCACATGAGCACGTAAATTTATAAATACACATTGATGTGGCCCAAAGCAAAGTTTATCTTTCACACATCCAGGAATGGTAAGCCGGCTTGAGAAAACAATTCGGAGCTTGGCTGTGTAGAAAGTTTTATTCAATGATTTTGAAATCCGTTTATTTAAGATTTCAGCAGCCGTGTCTCCTTTAAATTCCATATTTATGAAGAGGTTTTTCTTTTGTACTGTCGATACTTTCTCATGATGAATTCTCGGTGTTAAGTTACTATCGACAAATCTAGGTGGGTAACCGTTTCTGATGAAGTTTGTAGGAGTTGAATTAGTTCCTCATCTATTGTGTCAGTAGAACAGATTCGCTTGATCCTAGAGGATAAGCAGTGAATTAAGTTCCTCCTTCTACTCAATGAATCCCAACTATGGAAATTAGTGTACTGCCCATTCCAAGTAGGTTTTCTATATATAGATCACTGTAAAAAACCATCAGGCATTCTTTTTAATCGGACATCAAGAAAATGAAATTCAGTATTTGCCTCTGCTTCTAAGGTGAACTGAATTGAGGGGTGGTAGTTATTGAAACTTTTCAAAATTTCATCTAGGTCAATGCCTTCTTCACAAATAATGAAAATATCATCCATATATCTCTAATGTAGATGAAATCTCTCAATTATTGGACGAAGTACAGAATTATCCAGATTGGCCATGAAGCAATCAGCCAAGAGAGGGCCCAATGAAGAACTTATTGCAACTCCATCTGTTTGTCTATAGAAGTCATCATTAAATCTAAACTACACGTTGAGCGTACATCGTAGAAGTAATTCTTTTAGATAATGTTTAGGGATACATATATCATGGTTGTTGTTTTCAATATAGTCACATAAAAAACATATAGTTTCTGTGAGAGGAACATTTGTAAAAAGCGAAGTGACATCTAATGAGATCATTTTCTTACCAATTACGTTGAGATTTTTGATTGATTCGACAAAGTCAAAGGGATCAAGAGAGTTATATTTATTGATATGATTTTTAACAGGTTGTTAAATGTCCACTAACCATTTAGCAATCAAGTGACATAGAGACTTGTTCATATTAAGTATAGGACGTAGAGGGACATTATTCTTATGAACTTTTTGGAGTCCATATAATCTTAGTACAACGGAACCAGAAGGTTTAACATATTTAAAGAGGTCATAATTAATATTAGACTCATCATTCATCTTCCTTGGTATTCTAATCAGCAACAATTCCGTTTTTTTTTTCAGTTGTGTCTTTTCGAACGGTTTTTTTTAGAGAATTTGACAAGATCAAATATTATCAACGATTTTTTTCCTTACCCCTTGATTAGTACGTTAACTTCATTTGTTATTTATCCTTGAATCTATTTTTGTGATGCAATTTTTTCTATCCTCCTATAGACATACATTTTCCATATCTAACTATATATACGAATGTACAGTTTAAGTAAATGATTTCGTCGAAAAGAAAACTTTCTTCGCTGAATCCTCTTTTTCTTATTCTTTGTTAGTAATATGACGAATACCTTTTAACAAACGTTAATGTATCTGTGTAATTTTCATTCTGAGCCAACCACATTGATATTAAGAGAAGTGCTAATTCAATCGTTAGTCTTGTAGTTATTTGTAATAGTCTCTAAGATCAACAAATTCTTTTCGTTCGAATCCCAAATCCTCAATACAGAAGAGAAATATAAGATATTTGGCAAAGCTGGAGCGAATATAAAATACAACACCAAATCCGTTGACTATTTGAATTCATGAACTTTTATTTGGCTGGTTTATCGGTTAAATTGTTGAAATGATTTGTAGTGTAATACTTATATTCGGAGACGATTGTTAAACGCTTTTCCCTAATAAATATGTATTTGGTGTCCAACCCAGTTATTTGTTCGTTCTCAGGAGCTTGTTTCTAAACACTAAATTTCCAACCATCCATTGATAAGGTGGCGGTCTTTCTAGGTGTACGTAATTGTTCAACCTACACCTGAAGCAGTTCACCAAATATATAATCACAACATTTAATAAAGCTTTCCAGATGGACCAATCTTTTGGAGTAAATATACTAAGGCTTTTCGGTGTTTCGACCCTAAAACAAGGACCATATATACATTACTATGTGAGTAGGATACCATTTACAACAATCTATTTTCAAAGCGTGTAAGCAAGTAATATTTTTAGCGGAAATTCCATTATACGACTACTTCCTCAACTGAAATGTAATTAACCTACGGTATCTAGACATTTCGCGATCTATTTTCTTCATGAGTCCGATACGCTAATTCCCAAAGCCCCAACTACGCTCATCCTAGTGGCCCTATTCCGACTAGTTACCTTTTCAGGTTTGATCGTCGTCACAAATAATTGCACACACTTCGACTGGTTTGTTAAACAAGTCATATGATATCGAGTAATTCTTTTATCTTGATTTCAAAATGATCTAGGCGTAAATCTTCTAGAAATCGTTCATCATTTGTAGTACTTCTGACGAAGTACATATACAGAAATTTTGTACAGAACTTAGTAATTACTCGCCCATAAATCCCGACCGATTTGTAACCTCAGTCCAGATACTCCTCCAGGAACCTTTTATTAACTTGACATTTAAGATATAATGCTAACGTTATTGGAACTTGTGTATTATTGCATTTTTGTAGAAACACGAAATGGTTTATTCACAACACTTATGCACCCATAAGATGTCTGTGAATAATAATATACTTTGTCCCACACTCAGTATGTTTGAACCAGCTGCTATATTAAGCAGTTAGGGAGTCACTAAGCAGGGAAAAAGTGCACTATTAAATTCTTAATAGGTTAATGGCATTATGTTAATACATGATGTACAATAATTACTATGTATACGCCGTTTTGACGGCACACACACGCCACTGATTAGCATGGAAAATTTACAAATGTTTGTTCACAGAAAATGAAGTTTTATTCATGTTTTTAGTTGGCAGCGTACAAAATATGCAATGCCCCAAATGCCCTAGAGCGGCCGAGAGTGGGGTGGGCCCGCCCTCCCTCTCGAAATGCTCTCACACGGCCATGCGTTAACAACCTGTGCCAGGGAAGTCCTACTCACTTCTTTCTCGCATCACTGGTGTTGTTTACGAAAATGAGAGGACGAAAAGAGAATGTCCGGTGCTTTAACCGGATTCCAAACCAATGGTGCACATGGGCTCCAGTATCCTGAAGGAACAAATGGTGTATGAACAAATTATTGGTCTCCGGCTTCCATGGGACTGCATCTCCATACGATGATCCACTGCCTTGTGGATCAGACCTTCAGGTCGAAGGCTCGGAGAGTGTCCCTCTAAGAAAACCGCCTTCTTCGGTTTGGTCACCCGGGTAGTATCCCAGTACTCACACAAATCGAATGATTTATGTGGCGCATATGTATTTGATGCCTCCTTGTACCAATATCTAAGTGTTAAAATAAATAAATAAATAACGTAAGAATCTTCCGTATCCACCAACGGATTTATTTAATCGTATATCGTAAAAAAGATAGTACATATGTTAACTTAATTATTTATTTGGCGTGTTTCACCATTTAATAATCACGTATAACATTCAAAACAATTTCGTACTGTAAATACTTCTATTGTAATGAACGAGAACACAAATAGGAACAACCAAATGTATTTGAATATAAAATTACGGAATCTAAGAACCATACAATAAATACTGTATTTGTAAAATGTCAATTAATCGTCTCAAACTTCATTGTCCCTTCATTTCCATATCAATCATTCTCTGTTCTCGTTCTCTTCTTAACCATCTGCCATCAAGTATTTCACTGTCTATTGATGATACCTACTACTTATATCTATCGATATCAGTAGTATACACTACAATATCATTTACACTTCTGTAAGTGATTCATTAACTACTACTACTGTTGATATAGACCGCGGTATATGTATGAATTAGTTTACAAAGAAAAAATGGATATCGTTTTAAAATGAAACACAATAACATAATTATATTGCCAAAAATGCCTGGTTTCTTTTTTCATGTATAATGATGATCGTTATTTTTTTCGGGGGGTAGGGTGGCGTGGCGTGGGGAAATGACATCAGTTCAGCGATAAAAAAATATTAATTAAGTAGCAATAATAATAATAATAATAAATAAATAAATAATTATCAAACATAATCCTTACCAAGTATTATTGTCTATTTATTCTTCACATTAGTTGTGATCACCATGGTAACCATTATTATTATTATCATCATCATCATCATATTATTATTATTAATTCGAATGTATAATAATTTGAAAATGTCCAGATAATACACGTTTACCTAATAATTTAGCCCATTCACGAAATATAGGAATAACTTGTTTATTTAAATATGAACGTAAATTATAAAGAGATACTGGTGTATGATTCATGAAATCTTCTTTACTACTGATTGTCTTCGACGATGACGATGATGATGTATTATCATTGTACTTTATATAAAAATAAATATGTGAATCTAATGTATCTATATCCATAGTAACAGGAATTGAATTTATATCAATTGAAGATAGAGATGAAAATCTTGTATAATGATTATTTAACTTTAATTGATTTAATAATTGTATACAATGATTAATAGGTATCCAATTATAGGTTTCAGAACATGCTAAATAAGCAGGACCATATTGTGATTTATATGACATTTTACAACATGAATGAATATAATAACCCATATAATATGAATTAAAATTTTGATATAATACATCGGATTGAATTGAATTTAAACCATAAGTATTAGATAAATAACGAACAAATGCAATTTCACTAGGAAACAAGAGAAAAAAAACAATTGAAAAAGAAGTAACGAATAGTAGTTCTCATGTGAATTGTGCATAGAAATAATAAAAATGAATAGCCTAGTAATTATAGTAATTGATTTCTACTGGTGATCGACTAGATTATGAAGATGTCAATATCTAGGAGGGGGGGACATGGGATTAAGTAGATAGCTAGGATGAAGCTGGATAATCTAGACTTTGCAGATGATTTGACTCTTTTATCGCACACACACAACAACAAGTACAAGAGAAGACGAACAGTGAAGTAGCAGCAGTAGATCTCAATATACATAAAGGGAAAAGTAAAATTCTCTGATACGACACAGTATACACCTATCAAATCACACTTGACGGAGAAGCTTTGGAAGATGTAATAACATTTACATATTTGGGCAGCATCATTGATGAACACGGTGGATCTGATTCAGGTGTGCAGGCATAGATCAGCAAAGCAAGAGCAGCATATTTACAACCGAAGAATATCTGGAACTCAAAACAACACTCTAACAATCAACACCAAACTCAGAATTTTCAATACAAATGTCAACACAGTTCTACTGTATGAGGCGGAAAACTGGAGAACTACGAAAGCCTTCATCCAGAAGATACAACTGTTTATTAACAATTATCTATGCGATACCTGGATGAGACAATCCATGCAGGGCATCGAAGACGAGACGACGGTAAGCAGAGGGTACGATGGGTCGGGGAAGACCGGTGGAAGTATCACATAGGATAGTACCTGAGCTAGTAGCCAGGGACACTTCCTGGCACTGAAGGGATGTAGATTTTGGTGCTTCTGTAAAAAAAGATCGTTTGCTTGAGCGGCAACCATAGCAGGAAGATCGAGCACTTGTGAAGTAACTGCATTCACTTGGATACGTGACAGAGCATCAGCAACATAGTTCGACTCGCCTTTGATTTGGCGAAGGTCTGTCGTGAACTGAGAGATATAGTCCAAATGTCTGCATTCTCGAGGTGAGTAACGGTCAGACTTGGTATGCAGAGCACACGTTAAAGGCTTGTGGTCGGTGAATAAGATGAAATGGCGACCTTCTAATGTGTGCCGGAAACGTTTGATGGCACAGTAGGCTGCCAGCAGCTCTCGACCAAAAGCGCTATATCTCGTCTCCGTGGGAGTAAGGCGTCGTGAGAAAAAATTTAAGAGGATGCCAACTACCGAAGATGTTCTGTTGCATAACGGCTCCTATAGCAAAATCCGATGCATCAACCGCTATACTAAGTGTGGCTGATGGATCAGGATGAGCGAGGAGTGTAACTTGAGCGAGAGCCGTTTTGATCTCTGAAAATGCAGTACGTGCGGCATCTTTCAATTCTAATTTACGTGGATTACGGTGAAATAAATCGGTTAATGGTCGTAACCGTTCTGCCGCGTGTGGGATGAAACGTCGGTAGAAGTTAACCAAACCAAGAAATGCCTTCAGTTCCTTGAGCGCGGACGGTATGGTGTACTCTCTTATTGCACGTACTTTGTCCTCACAAGGCAAAATACCCTCTTGCTTAATGATGTGACCTAAAAACATTATCTCCGATTTGCCCAATTCACACTTGTCTGGGTTGACTACTATTCCATTATCCGAGAGACGTTGGAATAAGAGTGTAAGATGTTGATAATGTTCATCTACGTTTGATGATGCGATTAGCAGGTGATCAATATAGACGTGAACAATGTCTAAGTCTCGTATTATGTTATCGATAAACCTTTAGAAAGTTTGAGCAGCATTCCGTAATCCAAATGGCATTCGTAGGAACTCAAACAAGCCGAAAGGAGTCGTGATAGCAGTTTTTTCGATATCTTCAAGAGCGACTGGGATCTGATGATATGCTCGTACCAGATCGATCTTAGAAAAGATGGTCGTGCCCTTGAGTGATGCCGTGATGTCGTGTATGTGGGGGATGGGGTAGCTATCAAAGCGCGTAACTACGTTTAAAGCTCGGTAGTCGTCGCATGGTCTCCAACTAACCCCATCTTTTTTGCGCACCATGTGAAGAGGAGAGGTCCATGGACTGTGAGGAGGACGAATAATACCAGTAGCTAGTAAATTGTCGAACTCACGTCTAGCGAAAGCTAACTTGTACGGTGCCAGTCGGCGTGGTCTTGCCGTGATTGGGGATCCGCGGGTGACTATGTGGTGTACCACGTGATCGGTCACCGATGAAATCTCCCCGAGTGGTTTAGTTCATATGGGGAATTCCTCGAATAAAGCGTGGAATGTATCGTCACGCGAATAAAAGGTGCCTAGGATTCGGTACGCGTTTGCTGTTCGACGAAGTATCGATTAGCTGCAGCCTACGTGAATCAACTAGCGGTTCGTAGTGCTGTAGGAAATCAATTCCTAGTATGGCTGTGGGAACATCGACAATGGTGAACATCCACAGATACCGTCGTCCGTTGCCCAGGTTGACCGCGAGTTGTCGTGTACCCTAGGTAGGAATGGCTGAGCCATTCGCAGCGCGTAGTCGAAGCGTTGCAGCTTGTGACTTGCTGTTACCAAGGGGTACGACAGAAACTTGGGCCCCAGTGTCCACTAGGTACCTAGCGTTTGTGCGATAATCGTGCACATAGAATAAACGGCTAACCTGGCGAAGGGGCCGGGGAGTACGGCTGCTTTTACTCGCCGACCTTGGAGTTTCCCGCCTTGTATGAGCACGGGGCCCGACAATGGTGGGAACAAGACCCGAAGGATCGGTGGAACCAGCACCAACCTCCACTCGCTTCCGAAGCCGGCTTTCGGCGTGGCTTGGAAGATGGCGAAGGCGAGTCGAACTATGTTGCTGACGCTCTGTCACGTATCCAAGTGAATGCAGTTACTTCACAAGTGCTCGATCTTCCTGCTATGGTTGCCGCTCAAGCAAACGATCTTTTTTTACAGAAGCACCAAAATCTACATCCCTTCAGTGCCAGGAAGTGTCCCTGGCTACTAGCTCAGGTACTATCCTATGTGATACTTCTACCGGTCTTCCCCGACCCATCGTACCCTCTGCTTACCGTCGTCTCGTCTTCGATGCCCTGCATGGATTGTCTCATCCAGGTATCGCAGCTAAGTTACGTCTCATCGCTGCACGATACGTCTGGCCGTCCATGAATAGAGATGTCCTTATGTGGGTAAAGCAATTCTTACAATGTCAACGATCAAAAGTGCACAGGCATGTAGCTGCCCCCATTGACACGTTCGCTACGCCTGATGCTCGCTTCGATCACGTCCATATAGGCATTGTGGGACCATTGCCACCATCGCACGGGTATGATCACATACTCACGTGCATCGATCGTTTTACAAGATGGCCCGAAGCTATTACCATCACGTCTATTACGGCGGAGACGGTTGCTCACCGCTTCGTAGAACGATGGATAGCGCTGCACGGTTGTCCTTCGACTGTCACGACTGACCGAGGACAACAATTCGAGTCCACATTATTCTCCTCACTGACCCGGCTGCTTGGTAAGAAATGCATACGCACTACCGCTCATCACCCAGCATCGAATGGTTTAGTTGAACGGTTTCATCGCCAGCTTAAAAGTGCTCTTCGAGCACACGAAAACGACAATTGGTACGAAACCTTACCGCTCGTCCTCTTAGGTATCAGAACGAGCTTAAAGGCAGATATTCAATTTTCCGCCGCTGAACTTGTATACGGCACGACATTGCGTCTGCCTGGGGAATTTTTCACACCACGGAGCAGTAATGATTTCGAAAAGACCTTCAAAGTTGATCGACATGGCCGCGTCGAGATCGTCAGCATTGACAGTCTCAAACCAGCACACGTCGATGACAGTGCCTTAATCGATAACTTGAGACCCAATGCTAGACCTATCAAACCTACTAGTGAGATCCTTACATCTACTTCAGGTCCCACACTAGATACATCAAAGACCTAATTCTCACGTCCCGGTCAACAGCACGTGTCATCTGCACCATCTACGGACGAGACTTCAGTCTCACGTCCGGATCAGCGGACTACACCGCCCTTGACTTCGGGCCATCTTGTAAAACGATTGATGCACGTGCGTATGTGGTGGTAGAATTCATCCTTGATTGCATCCGGGCTGCAATCTGTCGGGACATAGGCGGAGATGATGAAAAGACAACGTTTCTCACGCCGATTTCTTCTCACTTTGATGGAACTCTCTAATCTAACAGCACATAACCGACTGTTAATAGGGATCCAATCGATTAGTGCTGCCTCAGCTCTAGCGCTTAGTGCGACACCAACGCCTGCAAGACCAGACGAAGATGCCACAGGGTCCCCGGATAAACGCACGTAAAACAAGCTTTTTGAAGTGACAGAGGGAGATCGAATTTGTAGTACTTCATCAGAGTCCTGAATACGGGTCTCTGATAGACAATAAACATCGATATTAAGGCTTTCTAAAGACGTAACCAACACTATCTGTTGTCCGACCTGCATTAGTGTGCGAACGCTGAAGGCAGCCAGTTTGGATAGTGAAGTGGTTTCAGAAAAGCTATTTCAGTATTCGTATTTGGTGGTAGCATTCAATTTTCAACCAGTCAGTGACTCTAGATCGTTTAGATAGGACCGAGTTTCCACCATAGGCGAGCTGCTGTATAAGTCGAAAAATAAGGATACACAAAGTGGGAATAAAAGAGAGTGAATAAGTGACGTAGTTAAAAAATAATAATAATGTGAATTGTTTGACTTTTAATCGAAGCGAGAATAGTATTTTCAGTAAGTATCGGCATTTCATTCTATTTGTGTGTGGACTGTGATACTGTCCGGCTACCCAGACCGAAACAGGTGGTTTTCTTAGGGGCCACACCCCGAGCCTTTGACCTAAAGGTCTGACCCACAAGTCAGTGGAGCAACGTAAGGAGATGCAGTCTCATGGTAGCCAGTGATCAACAATTGGTTCATACGCCATTTGTTCCCGCAGGATACTGGAGCCAGCCCATGTGCACCATTGGTTTGGAATCCGGTTAAAGCGCCGGACATTCTCTTTTCATCCTCTCATTTTCATAAACAACACCCTTGCCACGAGAAGGCAGTGAGTAGGTTATTTCTGTCAGTTTCTGTATACGCGTAGCCATGTGAGAGCATTTGGAGCGGGAGAGCTGACATCCCCCACCCTCGATCGCATTTTGAGTTACTAGAGAGTTGTTTTATCGCAATATTTTTGTGAGTACCTCAACATTCTCACTGCCTATATGTGTACTAGGTAATATGAGTTTTTTTCTATTTTTTTGAAGTAGAGTGGCTGCATTTCAATCTAAATCGATTGTTTTTAGTTCTACGATTCTAATCTCTGTACTGAATATACTGGAATAATTACACTACAACTCGACTTTAGTATGAACAAATGATTGAAGTTATATATATATATATATATATATATATATATATATATATATATATATATATATATATATCACATTACAATTTATTTAAGAAGTGAAAAGCACCAGAAAGGGTCGACAAGTATCCCTTTCATGTTACCACCAACTGTGTATACAAATTCACATGTATCTGCCAAAGCAGTTACATTGGTAGAACAGAAAGGAGAGCCTACGTCCGATTCAAAGAACATATTCCGAAAAGTTTAACATCAAATGGATTGAAAGCATTCAACAGTGCCATTGCGAAACATCTCCTTGACACAGGACACGAATTCGATACACTGAAGTCCTTCAAGGTGATTAACAAACAATCAAACTCTAACCTTTTGAAATTTGCCGAAGCATTAGCAATCAAACGTCTAACACCAGACCTATGTATACAAAAAAAGACAGTAATAAATCTTTCTTTACCCTGGTAACAATAACCCCCTCCTTTTTATTCATTTATTTCTCTATTTATTTATTACGTCATTATTGCAACTCTTTCTGAAATATAAATTACATCATACATAACTGATTGATTTCTATTCATGTAGTTTCTTTATTACCATTAATCTATTTTCATGAGTTCTAATCACTATTTCAATGTTCCGGAACTTTCCCTCTCAAACTTTATTTGTTCGAGACAAAATTATATGACTTCATTAACTCTATCGGAATCTTCGCTACAGCATGATACATTTATTCATCCTTAATCACCCTATTATGTATAAGTATGTCAATATCTGTAATAATGTTGAATTTTAAAAAAATTTAGGTTGTAAGCAGCTGATGAGAACCTAACTAAATAAAATGAATTCATAATATTCTGCACCAATCTTTCTAGTTCTATTCAATTCTTGTTCATTCTTCTCGTATCGGTCTCCATTTCTCAGTGTAATGTGTTATTTGGTCCTCTTCTCCTCCTTTGGCCTTGAGGATTCCATGTAAGGGCTTGCCTTGTGACGCAGTTGGGTGCATTCCTCAATGTGTATCCTATCCACTCCCAGCGCCCCTTCCTGATTTCTTCCTCCACTGGGATCTGGTGGCATCCCATCATCTTCACAGATTGTTTCACTCACACTAGACTTCTTGCTGCCAGTGGCTCGTGTTATGGTCTTGGATGTCTGGTTTTTCTATCACACGACTTATCTACCAATCCGAGTACGACTTATACGAATCTTCACACTAGGCCAACCAATGACGTTCAACCGGTGTGGGCAGTTTAGCGTCCTTATTGGTCCTATGTCCTACGAGCCCTTCCACTTGAGTACAGAACACAACACCAGCTTCCGAATATAAATCGAATCGAATCGTTTATTTCATGCATACTTGGTTTATATATCAATCACACAGACCGCAACGTACCATAAAATAGGAAATAATATTTGTACACAAATAAGCCCAAAAAGTGGCTGTGAATGTGGGAGGCAGTAGTTGATAAACTGAACATAACTTAAGAACCGTAAATCGTACAATAATAAATTATAGGTCAAAATAAAGCTTATCATAAAAGGAATGTAAATATACATAGTGTAATTGTTGAGTAGTTATACAATAAGAATATTTATAGAATATTAGTCCATGAATAGTCCTCGGAAGTTACCTGTAATTTAATCTTCACCGGATATAACAGCTCGGATGAGTTGGAAGAGCTTTCGGTAGTTACCAGATGCAGCTGCTGCTTCTAGCTCATTAGCACGCTCTGAACACTAGGCTTCAATTCGAGCAGTGGAGTCAGACAGGGTTGCCCAGCCTCACCATTCCGCTTCAACTTTGCCATCAATGACATTCTAGAAACAGCTCTGATGGATGTAAGTAATGGCGGTGTGGATCTGTTGCCTGGAGAGACTTTTCAGCCTTAAGTATGCGGATGATATTGTCTTACTGTGCGCTGATACATAAGCCATGCAATCCGCACTTAATTAGTTGGCAGTCATTTTCCGTATGTACGGTATGTGCTTTGTACCTTCGAAGTGCAAAGTACTTTTATAAGGTTTGCAGGACCCTGATCCTGCACTAACTGTGGGTAGTGAGCAGATAGAAATAGTCGAAGTTCGTGTATCTGGGTACCTACATAAATGCTGGTGGTGGCCTGAGTGATGAGGCAAATTCTCGTACAGTGAAAGCCAGAGTGACTTATGCCACTCTGGGCCACCTTTGGCGCCACTGTGATGTTAGTTTGACTGTACAAGGTCGCATCTACAACGCGTCGGTGAGAGCAGTTTTGCTCTATGCTTGTGAAACCTAACCTCTCCTAGTTGAGGACGTTAGACGACTCACTGTGTTCGATCATCGTTGTCCCCGAAGAATTGCTGACATCCAGTGGCAACACCATGTCAGTAATGCAGAGGTTCGGCATCGTGTGTTCGGGCACAGAGATGATAATGCAATTGGTGTCACCATCTTGAAACACAGACTTCGGTGGCTTGGACATGTTCTACGAATGTCGTCCCAGAGAATTCCACGTCGTGCATTATCTGCGGATGTTGGAACTGGTCGGATTTGGAGACGTGGTCAATGTTCGGCATGGTGTCGTGGTATGAAAGAAAGCTGTAAAGGACTGGCTTCTGTTTGGTCCTTCACGACTCCCTGGATGGGGTCCGAGAGATGGTGCGACACAGTGGCTAGAGACGTTATCTGATATGGCTCAGAATAGAAGCCAGTGGCGATCCTGCTGTAACCCCTTACTTTCTCCACAAAAAGTGGTTGCTTCTTCCATAACTGAAAGATCTCTTCTGATTGTATGTTTCTGTTTCCCCGATTATTATTATTATTATTACACTACCTTACACTAATCTGTTCGTTATTGTTCTTTTTCAACTCTCCTTGCCTTTTTTTCCCTTCTTCTCTTCAAATTCTCATTGTTTTGTGTGGCGCATATAAATTTGGTGCACCCTTGTACCAATTTTTATGTGTTCAGGTAAATAAACAAATAAGAAATGTCCTACTCACTGCCTTCTCGCGGTGTGGGTAATGTTTACGAAATTGAGAAGACGAAAAGCGAATGTCCGGTGCTTTAACCGGGTCGGTGGATATGAAGGACCCACCTAGGAGAGTTGGAAAACCCTGATTCTAAACCAATGGTGCACATGGGCTCCAGTATCCTGAGTGAACAAATGGCGTATGAACCAATTGTTGGTCACCGGCTTCCATGGGACTGCATTTCCTTACGTTGCTCCACTGCCTTATGGATCAGACCTTCAGATCAAAGGCTCCGGGCGTGCCCTATAAGAAAACCACCTGCTTCGGTCTGGGTACCCGAGCAGTATAACACGACTCGCAGTCAAGTTAATCGACATGAATATGGTGTGAGTGAAGTACACTATTTAAAATAACTCTGTGTTTAATGACTCACCGTAAAGCAGTATATGTACCAAGATGAAGAAATGAATAGTTCGGATCATAGAAAACATAAACAGATGAAAGACATCGTGGAAGTAGATCGATAACACCGACAGCAATTAATTTTTCACCATCAAGCCAATATTGTTGATGATAAGAACCAAACATTGGTGAAGTTGAATTCCATTCAAAATCGTCCTTTAAGAAAAGTCATTCAGTCATAGACGAGAAATTCACACATGAATGTTAATCAATAATATTTGTACACAATAATCATTCATAGTTTTAGCGTCAAGTATATATGGTTGATGATTACAGTCATAGATAAGTTTTACTATTGAGTAAAAAAGTATGTGAAACTTGACCTCCAATACATCAGTATTCTATTTTGAACAAGGTAGTCTTGAATACAGTTAGAGACAAGTAGGCAGCCGGTTAGTGATAGTCGTTTACATGGTAGATGTATACTTCTTATTGAGGGACCTGAGAAGCGAGTTACGTTAAGTGTGATCTTGTCAATCTAGGAGTTGTCGCAGAGCCCAAGGGACAATTACTTTAGGGAGGTCACATACGGTCTTTCAGAAAGTAGTTCTTGATATATCAGCTCTATATTATTCAAACCTTACTGCATGGGATGGAAATTTGTGAGGTAACCTGAGGTGAGCTATTTTTAGGGTCGGCATTTTATAATGTAGATGTGGGTTTTTCAGAGGGAAATACCTTACTTCCGTTACACCCGACTGTAGTCAGTAGTACGGCGTCACTCTTGAACCTTGGTTTCGCTGATTTCAAACTTACTGCTCTCCGACCGGCCTCTTTGGTGTAGTATTACTTAACGTAACGAGGCTTCCTACTAATCTAGTTCGACTGGTCATCACGAATGACATGACCAACCACCACCTCAAAGTAGCAGATACAGTTGGATGAAAACTGGGTATAAATGTGTAATGGTATCGTTACATATACAGTTTTAAGATAGCATATAAATTATATATTTTAAATTCTGTCAGTAAATTATGATCGAATTAACATGTATCTTCTCTAACTGTCAGTTAGTTGAAACTAATCAGAGGAAAACTCTGAATTTAGGCTTTAAGCTGGTTAATATTATTCATCTGGAACGTTAATCTACAACCTTGAGGAAGGTGAATTCTGATACATAATATGAAATTCAAGCTTGCATCACTGAATGCCAATATCTATATCGATAACTACTGAGCTACTGTAAAACTGGGATGTATACACTGGTCGATAAGTGAATAGTAAACAACGTTTTGTTGTCTATTCCCTAAGACTAATTGAATTATATCAGTCAAGTTTTAATTTGATAACCATAAACCACAGGAGTGAATATGTTATTATAATTTAACTAATATTGGGTAATTAGAAGTAATTATATATTAAAACCGTTCACATCTAGAAAATTTCAATTTATTATTAACAAAGACTAAAAACTAATTTGAACAATTATAAAACTAATATCAGAAGGGGTTTTTGTAGATATTATAGTAATTTTAATAGTTGAGATCATGAATCAATTGAAGCTAGACCACCATGAAAAACCTGAGACTCCTCCTCTTTTGATATTATTCAACATATGCTCACTAGTGACTGGCTTCAAGAAGTATTTCCTGAAGTTCTAGTGAGAAGCACTCACCAATGGAGTTCAATCGGGTCTGTTGTGAGATAGTAACTCACTGAAGACAATGGTGAATATGTCACTCAATTTCGTGGATTAGTTGAAGTTAGACATTACCACCGTTGGATGCCGGCTGTGGTTTAGGGGTTAAGCGTTCGCGCGCGAGACTGATAAGTCGTGGGTTCGAATCTCGCGAGGCGGGATCGTGGATGCGCACTACTGAGGAGTCCCGCAGTAGGACGAGACGGCTGTCCAGTGCTTCCAGGTTTTCCATGGTGGTCTAACTTCAATTGGCTCATAATCTCAATCATTGAGATTAATTATAAAATTATGCAGAACGATTGTACACCAAGCAACATAATATTGAACCAGAGAATCGGTAAGAAATGAACAGAATTAGATAGAAACTTTATTCTATCTTAAAACTATTCACAGAAGAGCATTGTATACTACTGATCATCGCGTTCCCAATCCCCTTAAACAGACACACACACACATTGTGATTGAAAACAGGATCTTGAAGTTTTATTATTATTATTATTATTATTATTATTATTATTATTATTATTATTATTATATCTCTTACCAATACTAATGGAGATTTAACTAAGAAACGTTGAAATTTCTCCCAAGTACAATCTTCTTTCTCATCTTTATGTATATGAATTTGATATTGTTCATAAATTCTATGAGATAATTTTATACGAGATTCATAATCGTTATCTGTTGGTGAAGATGTACGTATTAAACGAATCTATAATATGAGAATCATTAATTACAAAAGTATATTACTATTATAATTATCATATACAAAGATTGATAAACATGAAATGAAGATAAATAAAATAGTAAAGTGGTTTATCATTGCTTCAAACATTTACCTTAACTTCGCCTGTAGCTCTTCTAGAGTTACTGCCAGTTCTAAGCCTGGGTAAAGGAGGAGGGTTGGGCATGGGGTTAGCAACCCCATCCCGTAGAAAACTAACTCGCTAAAAAACGCTAACCATAATAAAACGCAAACATTTATCTCACATGTTAGAACAATAGAGCCGTGAATATACATATTGCATTTCAGCATCAGGATCAAATCGGAATGAGATTGTTGGTCCATTTTCAACCAGTCAGAGTTAGTGGATAAGTTTAAAGTATACTAGAAGATTCTTGTGAAAATCTTATATATACTCCAATTATAATGATATATCTTCGTAGTTCGGATTATTGAAATATATGAGGTTCTCATCCGATTCTTATTATGATTCGGAAATAGCAAAGTGAAATATAATGCCTAACGAATACTACACAAAATAAGAGTGAAATATTACTCTTTCAACTAACAATAGGTCCATACGCCGTTTGCTCACTCAGAATACTGGATACCATGTACACCATCAGTTTGGAGACGGGGTTTTTCAACTATCCTAGGTGGATCCTTCATATCCACCGACCCGATTAAAGCTCTGAGCATTCGCTTTTCGTCTTCTCAGTTTCGTAAACATCAACCACACCGCGAGAAGGTAGTGAGTAGAACTTCCCTGGTAGTGGCTGTATACGCGTGGCCATGTGAGAGCATTTGGAAGGGGAGAGATGACTCTCCTTACCCTCAGTCATGCCAGGACGTTTGGCAGCAGTAAACAGTAGAAATTGAAAATATCCATTATTATGATCTTCAACTAGTGGGGGTAATAAATATCATTAACTTTAGTGAAATAAGCTTTAAACACACAGAGAGAACACTTATGTCGGAACGCATCGCATTTTCTTGAACGTAAGTGTGAAAACTTAACATTTAGTGCGTTTATGGCATATATATAATGAATATCTAAAATTTAGGAAACCTGCTTGTCATCATACAATCTTGAAAGTCTATAATCCAGTGAAACTGTTGTTCATGATTATATTTGAATTTCAATGTCTACATAATGAATGAGTGAACGCGAACTATACAAGAGAATTTGACCACAAGCTAATTGATATGAAAATAAAAAACAGTATAAGATTTGAATTAATGGGTGTCGAGTTCGAAACCCAGACGTTCTCACAAACCATCAACCAGTTAAAGCATACCAGAATAAAGTGAAGTAAATAATTACGAATTTCATGGATTAGTGGTATAAATATCATCTATTTCCATTAACATAAAAAACGAAAATTTGCACACATACTTCGATAAAGTGCTTTCCTTCTCCTTTGTTTGGTTCAGATTGTAGAAAATCTTCGACTTCCTTTGGTTTATTTTTATCTAAACGTTTCTGACGTCTTTCATAGTACTCCTGGTAGCAATAACAACAACAAATGAGAAACGATTGAAAAATTTCCACAATGAAAAATGTTTGTCTTTAGTAAGTTAGTAACACTTACAATTGGTTTATTTTTGGAGTATTGATCAATGTCATGTTAGTGTGGTCCTTTAAGACTGATTGAATTACATCGATCAAGTTGCAATGTGATTAGATGCACCCTATTGGTATATCAGGTGATTGAAAGTGATCGACAGGAGACTTTGAAATAGAATCTAATCAGCACTAAGAAAGGATTGACGAACACGATATTCGTCACTGCTCAGTGACTGACAAACCGTAAATATCTCAATCCTACAGATTAGCCGAGATCCTAACAAACCAGTGGTAGTCACAGACCGTAAAGCTGAATGACACGGGATCGAATCTGCGACGGAGTATCATTTCCCTCCAGATTACAGCTACACCTCTCTGATGGGAATCAAACGGCACAAAACCCATAATCAAGTGTCTCTGAGGCGTGTAACCCAAAGACTTCAACAACTGATCTTGATCGTATGTGGGTGGAAACTACTCATACTGATATACAGTTAACTGAACTAAAGTAGGTGAAGTAACGTATGAAACCAACGACCCAATAGTTGAGAGCTAGATGGTTTAAACTCAAAAGTATAGTTCGCAAACAAGCATGCGCAGATCAAAGCAGTTGCCTAGTACACTGTTACTGCATATTCTAGTCTCTTGATATATTTTTAAATATTTCCGCAGTCTAGATGTACATCTGCATGATGTACGCTTCTTTACACTAAGTTAGATAAAAAGGTTCCAATGTGATTACTCAATAGTTGACAATGAATAACAGATTACAGAAACTCACTAACCAGCAAGTAAAATGTAACACCAGTAAAAAGAGCTGTTACTCTTACTTCGAACGATTTAAACATATACTTCCCATAATTAATTTACATTGATAAGTATACACAACTACCCATTGTACCCAATCTAAGTTGAGTACATAAATGTAATGCCGCATTTAGTGTTGATCACAGTAAACATATGTTTTGTACTTCATATCAAAGACTGATGAACGGCGTTCAAACTGTAAATTACTGAATTACAAGTCGTGTGTTCACAGTATACAGTTAGTTAAACAACTTATTTGTCAACTGCTATCTTTAATTTCACAACATAAAATCAATTTATAATATCTTCTTCTGAAAAATATACTAGAAAATAATACCTGAAGTAAAATTTCAAATGAACGATTTTCTTTTAGGCTTCTATGACGTAAATGTTCTTGTTTAGCTATCCAACGACGAAGATGAGCTTTCATTTTGTGACTGCCATGCGACGATGAACTTTGAATTTTATCACCTGATGGAATGCTTTGAAATTCCACATTATTATTATTATTACTACCATTTGATGTATTTAATGTACAATGTGGTGTACTAGGGGCATTTTCTGTTGATGATGATATTTTATCGCCGAAACAATCTGTTTGATATATATTTGTTTGGTTTTTAGTTTTCTCTTCATTCTGTTGAACTGTGGTGACTGTTTAACATTGAATTGTTAAGCATAAACAATAATTAGTGCGAAGGGTCTTTAGAAATTGTTAAATTTGTAATTTTACATCACGGACTGACTTTAGTTAGACAACTTAACGTTTTTAATTTTGATATCATATGAGGTGACGTTGTTACGTCAGTCATGGCCAAAATAAAGTTTGAGACTAGTCTGTATCAGCCCAAGTTGCGACATCACATTGACACAACAAGATGAACAACAAAAGTTTAAATCACAGTAGCAATGAAGATTAAATGTTGGGAAATGCAACCAAAAAGAGGATGAGTTTAGAAGTTAAAGAGTATCTCGGAACTTAATATCTAAGGGAAGACAGTGAATGCAAAAACAGCATTAAAATCAATTCTGTGCCATGACACCTGATCTCTTCAGCCATTAATCTCAGTCATTGCGCGGACTCACACCAGATTATCTGAACATGCCAACATCACTCAGCTAAATAACCAATCGTTTTATGGATTGATGCAATGTCTAGATCTGAGCAACCCTAGATTCCGTCCAACTTCCTACTACTACAGGCAAAATTACACGTCGAGGTATGTAGTGTTTGAACGCATGTATGTTTTCAATGACAATGAAATAACTGTTATTGTGTGATTTAAGAGAAAAGAATGATTTGCAGAATAGGACCTACTAACACAAGTTCATACCAATAGTCAAGGATTTCTGCTATCTTCATTAAAATAATCATGCATAATTTTACCATACCTAATATTATGACCGACGAATGACACCGGTATGTTTATAATTAAAACAATGATAACAGAACAATACATATAGTTACCGACATAAAGATAATAATCAATTTACCATTTTTAAATGATAAAACAGGCATCGATTTTCCCTCAGGAACAAACATACGATGATCATCCGTTCTAAGATTATTAAGATCCTCTTTTTGATGAGATGTTTTTTCATGAGGTAACTGTCCAAACTTTAAAAAATTGTACATATTTTTCAACACTCTTTTATGTGATTTCTTTAAATGGAAATGTAATGCATCACATCGAATAGTATATGATGGACAACAAGTAACATCATTTAAAGGTTTATAACAGTAAGTACCTGATCTGTAAACAATTATTTCGACAATTGGAAAAAATAACATACCGACGCCATCCTCGATCGATCATATATTGATAATCTGAAACAGTAAGTCGTTCAGCCATCATACCTTTGATAAAATAAACATTGTAATACGTGTTTTCCTAAATAATTTTAGCATTACCCCAATTAGTCTTTTTGTCATTAGAACTATTTTTACAATAACCACACTGCCCTGAAGAATGAGATCCATATGGGATTACTAAACTAGGATTGGTACAAAGTTCCATTTTCTAAAAGAAAATACATTAATTTAACTCCATATACATAGATATAGACATAAAGAATTTGCCACACCTATTTATCAAAAAAAAAACGAGAACATCAGCCTCCAAACGCCTTGATATGGTCAGGGTCGAGGAGAGTCAACCCTCCCTTCCCAAACGCTCTCACGTGGCCACTCGTATACAGCCACTACCAGGGAAGTCCTACTCACCGCCTTCTCGTGGTGTGGGTGATGTTTACGAAACTGAGAAGACGAAAAGCGAATGCTCAGAGCCTTAACCGGGTCGGTGGATATGAACAATCCACCTAGGAGAAGTGGGAAACTCTGATTCCAAATCAATGGTGCACAAGAGCTCCAGGGTCCTAAAAGAACAAATGGAACCTATTGTTGATCACCAGCACCCATGAAACTTCATCTCCTAACGTTTCTCTACTGCCCTGTAGATCGAGGTCAGGGAGCGGTTTCTTAAGAGAACTACCTGATTCGGCTTCGACACCCGGGCAGTACCATAGTCCTTACACGCAAATCAAGTAACCTGTGTGGTGTATATGTATTTGGTGCTTCTTTGTGCTAATGCTTGTGTCCAAATAACAATACTAATCAGTTTAAAGCGAACAAGTATATAAAAGTGTTAGTATTTGTACTATTTAGAGAAAAATATGAAATGGGTATATGAGTTATAGTGGTCAATTTTCAACCATATAAACCGTTCTGTACACTCCTAACTTATTAACTAAATACAAATTCGAGTACCCGATTTCCGTTACTGATAATGTAGACAAGGAGTTTCCTATTTATCACAAAAACCGGAAAATTTTGCAGCGTTCCACATTTTATCATTTCTTAGACGTGAAACAGTATATGAATGTAAAAGAAAGTATTAGATTTTTATTATTTGATAGTAAGACTACTGTAATCAGAGAATGGAAAATGCTAATGTTGGACATGAAGTAATAAGTAGAAGTACTGGATAAGTTGATAGTGTGAAACTTCATTCACTGAGAAATCTTTCATATATGTTGAGTAGTTGTCCACCCTGTTGTCCTATGTAAGCCAACAAATAAGTGGGCTGGAAAACTCCTGAGCATTCCAAAACCAAGGGACAACATCAGCTACTGACATTATGAACTTCAATCAGGTGCTAACCTATTTGGATCCGGAACGATAATTTTAATCTAAAATTGGATACGTTGTATGAGACGTTTTACAGTATATCGACAAGTTGCAGATGCATTCATTTGTCATCCTCTATGTTTTGATATGTCATTGTAAACGTTTTGTTTTCTAATTCCCATTTTTATACCTAGTTAACTTGTATTACTGATTGCATACGACTATCTCACCAATTTCTATTATTTTGCTCACTCCACTCAAAGCACATGTAACTCTCATCATAAATACAGAACTTTGTCGGCAATATTTGTACTACTGAATGACGGGCACTTTAGATAAGTCTGCATGCCTGTTGCTGTAGTCATTTTTGTCCCTGAAACCCAGCACATGACTGGAAGAGTTAGTTGTTTTGTTATTAGCCACGAACGGATAGAAAAACGACATAGTCCCTAGTGACCTTTGCACTTAGCAAGAATTATGGTGAAACGCCGTTTTACCTTATGTTTCTGTGAATAAATCCGGCGTCGATTTGCACCCACATTCAAAAATAAGTATATTCTTCAATATCCCAACGTCTTGTAAATGTCTTATCACGTTTGGCATTATAGTTGATGTCAGTTAGTGATGAAAACCCTAACCATTAACTGTATATGAAAATTCTGACTGTTCTACAACCCTTATTAGGTCCTAATCATTTGGTGTCCGCTCTCAAGATCACTTCACCGTCGCTCAAAGGTCGTCCATAAATTATAGTCTCACCGCACATAAAAAACTACAATTGCTGATCTGTTTTGAAATCCAAGTGATGAAGACGCTATTTCTCATTCAAAACACCTTTATCGCGCCAATTCCTTATAGTGTTACCCGCTTTCATTAAATAAATATTCTTAAAACTAAAACTAACCTCGACTGCATAGAGTACGTTCAACCGACCTAGGAATAGCAGGTAAACCCTGGTATGCATTATTACTTTGTTTGAACTAGAGATCATTCTTCATGAATAAATATGCTTAATAGTCCTCACACTAATTACGTTCTTTCTATTTTTCGGAATGGTTAAAGAACCATATCTATCAGTAAAATGTTGACGTCCAATTATCACCTATAGGTAAAAACTATCGACTATTTAGTGGACTAGTCTGTTAATTACACTAATATTTAACCACCTGAAGGACTAATATAAGGAAAAGGTAGACAACTCAGAGGAAGATCCGGGGGATAGACAATACAGTGGTAATTTTGAGGAAGGTCAAGTAGTTAATTTCTAGACATTTCCACTTGACGGGAAAATTCACAAAAAACCTGCCATTCCCATGGCGTTGGGAAAAAAGCCACAACTTGATTTTTTCGCCCATATACATAGCGACACTTCTTATGGAATCTCCCTAGTATTTCTCAGAAATTCCCCATTATTACTCCTTTATTATCCCTCGTTATTATTAGTCAAGTTTCAAGGTATATTTCGTACGTTTTATGACCCAGAATCTACTTTTATAATGCTGCTTATTCGGTAGCGTCCTTCAGGCAAGCCAACAAGTAATATGAACTGTGCAGCAAACTTCTAACCGATGTAACGCAAGAGACGTAGAACGCGCTTACGTTGAAGTCAGGTCAATTATGTGCTTTATATCAAATTGAGATTCATGTACTGAGAACAGAAGGCTAACGGCCCGTGTCAGATTCTAAGCGTGTTTAGTCTCCTGTTGAATGAGTCTTCTGAAATGACATACCACATTTTCGGGTGACGGGTTCTAATAATTGATTATTTGGTGTGTAAATCTACATGTCACTGGTATTTTGTCCATTCTTGGCTTTTTTGCTCGCTTATTATGTCCTCTAAGTTGTCCTAATCTATTAGAAAGAAAAAGAGGATAATTCAGGCATTACTCATTTCTTGGTATTATGTATATCACAATCAGATCACCTTTTAATCCGTAGTAGGACGAGGTAATGATGTCTAGCTTCTGAAACAACACCTGTATGTTAAACCCAAGGATTCTGAAATTGCACGAGTAGCCGTCATTTTTTATTTTTTAGGATATTCGAATCGTTTTTCTAACAGAGTCTTGGAGCCTGAAATCAGTTTTCAAGTTTGGATCAAATTAATGTTGTGTATACTTTAGTGAACATGTTAGTCTCTAACTTAATAAATGTCCGCCTTAAAGACCATAAGGTCACGAACTCCTTAACAGTTATCGAACGGCAGTGTAGTAGCACTGAATACTCAACTATGGGTGATCTTATCCGCAACGCAACCATGTAAACTTAATGTATCGCACACTGTCGTTTGTGCGTTCAAGTAACCACAGATTTTGTCATTTCATAATGTATTTTTAATTAAACAACTAGATCATGTAGTCAATTTTGCTCTGTTTTTAATTTTTATTCGCCACGTCCGGCTGCGTTACACTGTACGTCCATTGCACAATGGGATGATAACTCAAGTCATAGTGAGTTTATTCACATAGTTGATTGTTTCCAGATAGACTGTCAGTGCATGATTTTACTGAAGAAAGGTTTTTGTACTGTAAACTATGTTTCTATGAACAGCTGCCTGTTGTCTTCAGTATGAAAGCAGTATATATGTATCTTTTTTTTCTTAGGTAAGTTCAACTGGCCTATATTTCGTGTTTTGGTTTTATCGGCTTAATTATGTCCATTTAACTACTTTGAGCAACATGTCTTTGCAAGTGAAACAATAACTATGACACTTGCTTAGTTTAGTGTTCTTGGTTGTCGTATAATTCAGTTTAGTTGAAAGAATTATGATATACTTAAGTATAGTGCTCGAAGCCTGTAACGAAACAGATCAGTTTAGTAAGTAGAGTTGCCTGTTTCCAATGTGTATACTGATTCAGATCAGTCTGATTAAAAATAGGAAAAAACCTGCCTTTGATGCTGTTGCTGTCATACATTATAAGATAGCGATAAGTATGTTTGGTGTTTATTTCTAAACTGTACATCTATCACTGACCACATTTCATGATCACTGTCATTAAACAATTTCCCCAGCAATAACATCGGTAGCAAGATAGCTAAGTGTCTGACCTTTTAGTTGCCCGCAAAACAGCAGTATACAGTCTTAGAAGATGAGTGTTCTGTGTCTCAATTAAATGCAGCTGGCTGTGGACAAATGTTAAGAATCTTTATGACAACTGGGACTTTTAGTTTATCAGACACTAACTCTGCATTGTAGGTGTCATTACCAAGGTTTGATTTGATAATTTCGAATAAATTGAGCATTGGGTTGATTGTTATAAATAAAAATAATATATTTGTAATATCCCAATGAGTAGAAAATTGGATTTTCTGACGTTTCGTGGCTTAGTGTAAGTCACTTCTTCAGAGAATAAATAACCAAATTAAAATTAAACCAAGTTTAAATAGTACAACGGAACAATGCAAGAAAAATATTTGATCAATCAAAAAACAGGTCTGAACAAGTTGATGTCATGTCATTTCTGTCAAGGTGATTCATAAGTGATATGTATGTAAATTTGTGTGTGTATGTATATGTGCATTGTTTAAGAATGAAAACTTATGTGACCTTTATGGTAAGAAAGGATAGAGTTTAAATTTGTAATATGAAAGTGTGAAATTGTAAATACGATCAGACTGAATGGTTAGGATAGATGGTCCAAGTAGGGTGTATGGTAAGGCCTTCTTTTCTATTGAGAGAAGTAGGATTAAGCATTATGTGGAACGCCTCAGCTACCCTCCTTTCTTTGTAGTTGGAAAAGCCTTTTTGCAATATTTTGATATTTTTAATATCGATTTGGTGGTTGTTGAAAATGGCATGAACTGCTATTGCCGATTTAATTTGAAGTTGGTTCAATTCTACCGGATTGTTAGGAGGTTTCTTTGTGTACCTAATATGTTCTTTGGCTCTAGTCACGATTTCGCGGGATGACTCTCCAATATAATAGGCATCACAATCGATACAACCTAATTTGTAGACGCAGTTCTGTGTGGACATGAAAGGGATTTTTTCTTTCAGGCGAACTAAAGTATTACGTAGTGTGTTCGTTGTTTTGTAATACACTTTAATTCTGTGGTGTTTTAAGATTCTTTGAATTTCTTCTGTTGTGCCATGACGGTATGGTAGAACTACAGTACCAATCCATGGCATTTCATTCGAAACATTATTATAATGTAATAAATTGTTTTGTTTTAATATGCTTCTAATAATCTTCATAGGAAAATTATTAAATTGTAAGGTACTAATTATATTCATTTGTTCTTTTCGTTTGTCTTCCTCTGATGTGATGATCTTGTTAGCTCTTCTAAAAAGATTTAAGGCTAGCGAGATCTTAGCACTGAAAGGATGTGCTGAATGGAAGTCAATATAACGATTTGAATGCGTCGGCTTTCGGTAAATGGATAAGTTTAGACTTCCATTTGGATTTCTTTTTACTAAGCAATCCAAGAATGGTAGCTCACCATGAGCATTTTCATTTTCATTGGTGAATTTGACTTGCGATGAAAGTGTATTAATTCGTTTTGAAAAAGATCTTAGATGAGTCTTTTTTATAACCACAAATGTATCGTCTACATATCTAAGCCAAATTCGTGGTATAATGTTGTGGGCGAAGATATTTGATTCTATGTATGCCATAAAAAGGTTGGCTACAATCGGGGACACGGGGGATCCCATTGCTACTCCGTTGGTTTGTTTGAATAAAATACCGTTAAAAGTAAATAGCGTTGAATTTAAGCAAAGTTTTAATGATTTCATGATTAGACTGATGCTCAACTCTACTATTTAAATTCCTCGAAACACCGACAAATTAAAAAATTCGAAAACATCAAAGAAAAGAAGAAAGATAAGAAAACATCAACAATAAAATACAATTTGAATAATCTAAGAACAGTTCATAATCTCTCCAACATAAACTTAAACAGTCACGAAATCACTCTACTGGAGAAGGGATTAAACTTCAATTTACACAGAAAACCACTTAGCACTCTTGAAATCGCTCCGATTATAGAACCAATGATCGCACAACTACCGGAAAAAGAGTCGCATTTACTACGTCAAAAGACATCCCATATTCTGACGAAACAAAAACACATTACCCCAAACATTTCAAAAGAAGAATTGAAGGCTCTGAATTCACTTAAAAAAGACAAAACAGTTATCATCACTAAAGCCGACAAAGGCAACACAACAGTAATCATGAATAAAACAAATTATATTAACAAAGCTCTTGAACATCTCTCAACAGGACCTTATGAAAAGATCAATCCAAAAACTTCTCTAACGATTAAGAATAAAGTCAAATTAGAAACAAATCAACTTCTGAACGAGCTAAAACCAATCATTGGGGTTCCGCTTTGGTTTGCTTTGCATCCCAAATCATGTAATGTCTCACGGTTTTATGGCTTACCAAAAATTCATAAACCAGATATTCCTTTAAGACCAATAGTAGACTTCACAAACACCCCAACATATGCACTATCGAAATATTTAAGCAATATATTAAAACCATTACAACTCAACCTACATAATATAATTAAAGACACATATGACTTTAAATCAAAATTATCCGGATTAATCATCAAGAAGAATGAAATCATGGTAAGCTTTGATGTCGTTTCTTTATACACAAGTGTTCCCATTGATAAATGCTTAGAATTCATTAAGGGTTTACTTGAGAACGACAATACTCTTCCTGACAGATGTCCGTTGAGCATCAGTCTAATCATGAAATCATTAAAACTTTGCTTAAATTCAACGCTATTTACTTTTAACGGTATTTTATTCAAACAAACTAACGGAGTAGCAATGGGATCCCCCGTGTCCCCGATTGTAGCCAACCTTTTTATGGCATACATAGAATCAAATATCTTCGCCCACAACATTATACCACGAATTTGGCTTAGATATGTAGACGATACATTTGTGGTTATAAAAAAGACTCATCTAAGATCTTTTTCAAAACGAATTAATACACTTTCATCGCAAGTCAAATTCACCAATGAAAATGAAAATGCTCATGGTGAGCTACCATTCTTGGATTGCTTAGTAAAAAGAAATCCAAATGGAAGTCTAAACTTATCCATTTACCGAAAGCCGACGCATTCAAATCGTTATATTGACTTCCATTCAGCACATCCTTTCAGTGCTAAGATCTCGCTAGCCTTAAATCTTTTTAGAAGAGCTAACAAGATCATCACATCAGAGGAAGACAAACGAAAAGAACAAATGAATATAATTAGTACCTTACAATTTAATAATTTTCCTATGAAGATTATTAGAAGCATATTAAAACAAAACAATTTATTACATTATAATAATGTTTCGAATGAAATGCCATGGATTGGTACTGTAGTTCTACCATACCGTCATGGCACAACAGAAGAAATTCAAAGAATCTTAAAACACCACAGAATTAAAGTGTATTACAAAACAACGAACACACTACGTAATACTTTAGTTCGCCTGAAAGAAAAAATCCCTTTCATGTCCACACAGAACTGCGTCTACAAATTAGGTTGTATCGATTGTGATGCCTATTATATTGGAGAGTCATCCCGCGAAATCGTGACTAGAGCCAAAGAACATATTAGGTACACAAAGAAACC